AGAAGGTAAAGCCTTGTGTAGATTTTTCACCTTTTCTCTCTTTATTTTCAACCCGGATATTTAGTTTAGTTTTACAAGAAAAAACGAAAAAGAAAAGAAAAATATATTTATAGGTTTTAGTTAGGTTGAATCAAAATAGAACTTGGTGGTTACAACAGTTAAGGCTTGATTCATAATGATTCCAACAAAAAAGATTCGAATGGGACTTGGTGGCTACAACCATTAAGGCTCACTGCACATGAATTCTTGAATATAGGCCAAAAAGAAGAGATCAAGACTTGGTGGCAACCACCATTAAGGCTTGTTTAACGGAGACCTGTCCAATCTTCGTCAATGATTATGCAATAAAGGCAAACTTTTACTCAAGAGAGAAATTAGAAAAGATAAAAGATATGAACTAACTTTTACCTGAAGATCCATATACTTGTTTGAAAATGCTTGCATCCTGTGATCGATACTCCTAATGTAAAGGCTACATTTTATTTATGTTAAGAAATGAGGTTGGTTGAGGGGATTGTCAGATACTATTTGCTAAGTTGTTGGTTAGATGAATATGGGTTCTTAGCTAAGATATGGTATAATGTGCTTTTTTTTTATTAGGACTTTTTAGATGTGGATTGCAATATTGTTGAGGTGATGATTTCAAAGTTTTAAATTTGTGAGTCTTAGCTGTTTTCCAACCTTTTTCAAAGAGATTGTCCGTTTGTTTTGCTTGAGGACAAGCAAAATGGTATGTCTAGGGGAGTTGATATACCATTATTTTGACCCACTTTTAGTCATGGTATATGAGTGTTTTAATATATATTTATTATATTATAGAAGCTTTTAAGCATATTTATAGGTTTAGGAGTATTTTGGAAGAAAATGATGTTCTTGTAGCATTTTGGAGAGAAATAGAGATATTACTTCATTTAGAATCGACCAACACAAGAGGTCAACACAGAGTGTTTATAATCGATTGATGCACACTCGGTGAGATCCAAAGAGTGTTAGATAACAAGTAAAAATCTGGATTTTTAAAGTTAGAGAGAAGATCCAAAGAGATTTTTGATTGGAACTCCATTATTATCTATCTATCTATTTATGCAGTTTATTTACCTTGTTTGTGTTATGAATTCTGTGGGAACCGAAATTCACACTTGTCGATTTCCGTTAGATAAGGAAACTTAGGAAAACCCTAATTTTCCAGAGGAACCGGATCTCTGCAAAAGCCAACGACAAGTAACCAAATAAATGCGGAAAAATACGAAAAACGTAATAAAACAAATTTAAAGAAAAAGTAAATCTTATTTCGATTTCGCGTAAAAGCGTTGCGATCGTTACAAGGGTTTACAAAGGCTTTGGCCGCAGGGACGTCAGCGAGTTATCAACATAAAAACCTTAAACCTAATCGAGTCACAACTCGATAACAAAAGACGGAAAAAGATAAGAAAAAGGATTTGAATGATTTCAGACTGAACCTTATAAAAGGCTGCCTAGGTACCCCTTTCGAGGATCAAGTCGAACGTAGTTCAGTTGGTAGAGCTGGACAAGAGATCGAAATGCCTGGGCGAGTTCGTCTAGTAATTGAGCGCCAGTAATAGAAACCGAACTTGTCGAGAAAAAGCCTAAGTTTCTAAGTGCGGAAAATTCTAAGTCTAGAAAAGTTGTGAAAGTCTCAGATGAGAGCTCTGGATTTCGTCCCCTTTATTCTGCCCTATGCCTCTTGCTTATATACTCCCTTCCTAGGCGGTTTAGTCTTTCCATTTTGCCCAGATTCGAGTTTAATGGGAATCTTCCATTTATCTCGATCTTTCCTTTTTTTTCCGCGGAAATCTTCAATTTATCCTCATACTTGACATTTATCTTCAAGTTTGACATTTATCTTCTTTCTGCGAGTAAATCGCCAAAACGTCGTCGTATCTTCGGGTTGGACTTCCTTTAAAGTCGCGAGTGGCTTTTATCGCGTTTTATGACTTTCCGAGCCGTTTTGCGATAAATCCGTTTTACGACTTTAGACGAGATCGTTTCCTGATACTGATACGATGCCGTTTTTAGATAAGTTTCTAGAGTTAATCGTAAAGCTAAGCAATGTTCGATGTTTCGATTAATCGTTGTCGTTTCCTACAATTTACTCGGGATTTTATTAAAAACGCGTTTTGTACGATTTTTACGAAAAATCTCTAATATATCGTATAGTTTTGGCAATATTTGGTGTTTCGTTTGACCGTTCCCGTTTTATACACTACAAGAAATAAGGGTTTTAATAGCACCCAAAAAGCGCTATTGTACGATACCATAGCGTTGTAGAAAGCGCTCCAATATCGCCCGCGATAATAGGCCAGGTCCATTAGATAGCGGTTTTTGAAGCCGCTATTGATATTAATTTTTTAATAGCGTTTTTTATTATGCAATTGTAATTGTTTTTAATAGCGTCTATAAAACGTTATTATAACATTTTTACTATATCAGTTTTAAATTTTACTATAGCATGTTAATATTATTATTTGATTATTATTATTATTAAATTATTATTATTACTATTATTATTGATATTAATTTTGAAATTTAATCTGATTTAATATTAAAATTGGTTTACAACTTATTTACCGGTTTATAATGATTTCGGTATATTAATAATTCGGTTTACAACTGATTTTCGGTTTAAAAATTAAACCAGATTACAATTTTTTCGGTTTACAAATTTAACCGGTTTACATACAAACCGGATTTAAAAACTAAATCTAAAAAACCCTAACTCCTTCGCACCGCCTCCTCCGCACTGCACCCTCCGCTCTGCCTTCTCATCCACCACTACCTCCATCTATGAAACTGCTTTGCTTAATCCTCTGCCTCCGCCTCTTCTCTCTGTCTCCTGGTGATCTTTGCCTTCTGCTTCTCCCTGAAACTCAGTTTTCAAAACATAAACAGAAAAAAGATTCAAACTTTCGTGGAAAATCTTCTTAATCAAAATCCTTTACCAAAAACAGAGACAAAATCAAAAAGATAGAGAAGCCATTCAATCATTACCTTTAAAGTTGATCGACAAAAATCATGAGATACGCGTTTCTCAACAAGGATTAAGCAAGGGAAGGGGGAGAGAAACGGTCACTGTTCATGTGACGCTGTAGAGTGAGTTAGAGAGAAATGAACACATCACACGGATGTTTGTGATGATGTAAAATAAAGGAAGAGACATCATGTTGAGCAACTACAACAGAACTAATTGAAATTTGAAATCAGAATGTTGCAATCGAAACAAAAATTATAGAGAGATATGTGAGTAAAGGAAGAGATAATTCTCTGTAAAAATATTTGAGATCTAAAAATCAGAGACGGAAGAAGAAAATAAATAAAATTAATAACAGACATGTTATTGTGTCCGTTGGATGAGAGTTGATGAGTGGTTGTGAGCCACTGGTTTACATGAATCCATGTCACAAAAAAAATCGACCAATAGGAGACAAAGGTGAAGATAGGCAGGAGAGTGATTTAAGCCTTTGATCCAAATAGATCAATGGCTCCAAAAAAACCCATAGAAATTGCTTTTTATTTATTTATAGTTATTATAAATAACTATAGAAATTATAAATAACTGTAGACATTTTTAAAAATAAAAATGATTGGATCATGTGACAGAATATATGAACAATTGTTATATTTTGGATTTCTGATTATGATTTAGTTTCAATAATAAAAAATGTAAAGTTACAGATAAAGTATATGATCAATTCAAGGTTTGGAATTTTGAGAATATGGTTTTGGTTTTGGTAAGTAGGGTTTGGAGTTTTTGGGATATGATTTGTTGTTTAAAATTAAAATTCATAGTTTAGTTTTCAAAAATAAAAGTTTAAATTAAAAGTTTAGTGTTTATAATATAAAGTTGAAAGTTTAGATCTAAAGTTTTTTAAATATGAAGTGGAGTTTGAGGATTAGGGTTTGAGGAATAGGGTTTGGGGTTTAGGGTTTACATTTTTTTTATCTAAAATATATAAAAATACTATTACATTAGAAATCAAATTTTAGTATTTGAATTTTAATAGTATAGATTTTAAAATTTATAATAAGTGTTGGATAGTAGAGTTTAGGGTATGTTTAGGGTTTTGAGTTTAGGGTATGTTTAGGGTTTAGATTTTAATGTATTTCGATCTAACAAGATCTCCATCTCGATCTCCGTCACCATCTCTCTCCTCACTCTATCACCCTCCTTCTTCTACTTCGAATCCGAACCCACCCAATCCCTCCTCCTATGGCTCGCAATCTCCTTCCTCCTCGGTCCCTTCGCGCATCATTCTCTCACCGGCGGCAAAAGCCGCGTCGGTCACAGTCAGATTCTGGAGCCAGAGCAGATAAACGGCGAACAACACTCCACTGATAACGAACGCGAATCAAGAAGAAACAAGAGATCTAATAAAGCGATGAAACCGCCGGAGAATCCTTCTCCGGTTGTTGCTAATAAAGTGGATCGAAATGGATCTGTGAAGGAGGAAACTAAGGAGTGGAGTGAAGAGGAGACTGAGATGCTGAAGGCTGGTGAAGCATCCGGCGGGGAAGCCTGGGCGGTGGGAAATGGTGGCGTCGGCGTTTGGAGGGAAGTACAAGACGGAGAATGTGATCAAGAAGGCCAAAGAGATTGGGGAGAAGAGAGTGTTCGAGAGTGACGATTACGCTCAGTTTTTGAAGAATAGGAAAGCTTCTTTGGATCCTAGATTGGCTGAAGAAGAAGAAGACGCTGGAGGAGATGATGAGACTTGGAGTAATGGAGAAGACATTGCATTGCTTAATGCTCTTAAGGCTTTTCCGAAGGAGGCAGCTATGAGATGGGAGAAGGTTGCAGCTGTTGTGCCTGGGAAGACGAAGGTGGCTTGTATGAAGAGAGTTACTGAGCTTAAGAAAGGGTTTAGGAGCTCCAAGTCTGGAGCTAATTAGCTAGTGAGGGAACCTGTTGAGGTGATTGAGAGTCTCTTTAGATAAGATAAGCAATAGCCGCAAGAGGATCTATCTTTCTCCATTGTAGTTGTTACATTTTACTGAATAATATTGTTCTCTCCGTTGAATATGAGTTACTTCAAAATGCTGATAGCATGTTCTTTTGATGTCTTAGAGGGTTCTTATCAATTAGGTTGCATAAGGTCATAGTCAATTTACTTATCTAGAGTTATGAGTACTTTGAGAATTGGGAGAAGTAACTCTAGTGAAACTACTCGTTAGGTCACGGCACTTGTATTTTGATGTTAGGAAGGCTTGCTATTTGATCATGTCAAACAAAACCCATTGCTTTCATGGAAACAATGCTATTTTCTTTGGTGTATTGGGTTCCCTGCTGGTTTTTGGTCATATTCTATTTCTGGTCATATTCTATTTCTGGTCATATTCTATAAATGGGTTTGGCGAGAGGGAAAAGGGATTGTGAACTTGGCATAAAACTGGTTTAGGTGTTCATAGTTGTTTTTGGTTTATGATTGTCTATTCACAAATTTTATTTCTATAAATTATATTCTAAGTATTAATTATATTTATTTTGTATTTAAAAATTAGAGTTTAAAACTGTGAGTTTAAAGTATAGGATTTAGGGTATGATTTGTGGTAATGTATATATTTAGAGTTTAGGGTTAGGGTATTATTTAAGATTTAAAATTAAAATTTTTAAAATAATAAAAAGATAACAATTTTAAGATTTTTAGATAGAGTTTAGAATATATGATTAATTTAGGGTATGATATATATAGGAGTATATTTAGGGTATGAAGTTTAGATTTAATAGCTGAAATTAAAAAGTTTAAAATATTAAAACTTAAATATATTTAAACTTAAGATTTGAGATTAAAATAAAAAATATTTGAGATTAGTTTTCCAAAATATTAATTTTAAGTTTATATTTAAGATTTGATGTTAAAATATTAGTTTAAATTTTTTGTTGAAAATTTAGGGATTGTGTTTAAAATTTTGGTTTTAGAGCCAAAATATTAATTTATTGTTTATGATTTTTGGAGCCAACTAGAATGGAATAAAAAGAAAAGTGAAACATGGACGGAGAGGGAAAATAAATTATTTTCCCGCTTAGTTATTCATAGCGTTTCAAAACTGAAAATGCTATGTATATTATATTTCGAAAAACGTTTTCCAGAATTAAAATTGGAATAACGAAACATAGCGTTTGCATTTTTATAAACGCTATCTAAAAGTAAGAGATATATTAATCATAGCAGAATCGAAAAAAACGCTATCATATTCTGCTATTAAAACCCTTATTTCTTGTAGTGATACGATTTCCTCGAGTTCTTTTCGAGAAACAATGTTTTACGATTTTTATCGTTAAACTCGAACGATAGGACGGATCGAGACGAAACGGGAGACATTTTGACTGTGATTCAGAATACGATGGTGTCGAAGGACGTATGCCTCGAATCAAGGATGTAGAAGATCGAGGCTCGGGATAGTCGGCTTGACGTACGGCGAGCTAGTTCAGCTTGGCCAGGTCGCCAGCACGCGAACTAGGCGATAAGAACCTTTTAGTTCGCCGTTGGGGAGTCTCTAGTTCGCCTGCTGGCGAACTAAGCCAAGCCGGCTTAGTTCGCCAGCAGGCGAACTAGTCGGGGAGTGCATAGTTCGCCAGCAGGCGAACTAGTCGTGACTAGTTCGCGTTCTGCGGCGGTTTCGGTTTTTTGCGGTTTTGCGTTCGCGTTCTGCAACTTTGAGTTTTATAAAACGATTCTCGAGTATTTATAAAACGATTCTCGAGTTTTATAAAACGATTCTTCGAGGTTTATAAAACGATTCTTCGAGTTTTATAAAACGATTCTTGAGTTTTATAAAACGATTCTCGAGTTTTATAAAACGATTCTTCGAGTTTTATAAGACGATTCTTGAGTTTTATAAAATGATTCTCGAGTTTTATAAAACGATTTCTTTTATATTTCCTGCGGAGACTTTTTGCCATTGATTCCGTTGTGACCGATTTTGACACCAACAGTTAGCCCCCCTAGCTCGCTAGAGTCTTGAGCCTTTAAGTTAAGTTAGGCGGAATTAATGGTTGGAAAGGTCCATTGAAAGTGATCTTTCCACTCTCCAGGGAGCGGAAATCGTTTAAGATTAGGGCTGCGCCTTGTGAAGGCTGCCTACGTACCCTTTTGAGGGGATCAAGCCTTTCGTAGTTCGTTTCGGAGTTAAGGTTCGTATGACCTGTTTCCTAGCAAGACCTTTACGGTCCAGTTATATGTTGTGTAGGAATTATCGAGCATATTGATGTCGATGGCATCTGGAACTTTTCCGGCCTTGAGACTAGCCTCGTAGGCCGTTTGGTCTGGCTGAGCGTGGCCGTTATAGTTTTCGGACTGGCCGTGTGCGGGTCTGAGTCCCTGCCGCTTTTGCGGCTTTATTAAAAATCAGTTTGCGTTTTTAAGAGCGTGTTCTTATTCGTATGAATGTAGCGGGAAGATTATTAGTTGATATTGAGGGAGGTCCGCGAGTTGTCGTCTCGCATTCCTTTTTCCCTTAGTGTATCGCCTTGTTCGTTTTCCCGTTTTAGGATGTTTAGTTAATCGAGTGAGCGTTTAGATATAGACGAATAAACATGCCTTTAGGATCTCGATTCATGCCTTTTGACGTTAGCGACCAGTGTGTTGGGTTTAGGGCAAGACCTAGGTTTACTTTCGGATTGAGGCTATGCGATGACTAGTCGGCTTTCGTTTTGCCTGTTGCGATTTTAACCTGATTCCATACCGATTTAGAATTTACGCTAGGTTCTCGGCTTATATGATTCGTCTGGATGGAACCGAGCATCTCACCGGGAACAATTTCTAAGTTGCCCGGAAGTGCTGACCAAAAGTTTGGATTTCTTTTATAGCGTTATTACCCTTGTGTCGGGTGTTCGAGAGCTATCTATGCGAGATAACTTAAGTTTTTTTAGGACTGTTGCGAGTTTGTTGTGATCAGCAACAAACTTTTTAGGCGATAGATGTTTACGTTGTTTTGGCCTTCGAGAAGGATTACGTACGTTAAGAAGTTTTGCGTAATTTTATAGTCGCGGACGGACTGTTAGGTCTTCCAAGAAAATGATTTTATCGAGGAAGGTATTTTTGTCGAAAAACTGTTCTCCGGGCGTCTGCGACATCTCGCAGTGCCGAAAGTTTGTTTTTATTTTATATGCCACGTTTCGTGTTTGGAACGTTTGCGGGCTCGGAGATGTTGCGCAGTGTTGCGAGGGTTTTGTCTTAACCCTGCTTTGCAGGAACACTTTGGTTCGTTTGCGGATATTCGCAATTAAAACTTACATTCCTATTTCGATGTTAGGTAGTTTTACGATTTGTGCTAGAGCAATTAGGACCGAGAGGTCGCGTAAGTTGTTTCCCCGAAACGAAGCGTTTTTTGTTACGGTGCTTTGTGAAGTGTTGACCTTCCGAGATTCGTACGGATTTAGGAGCTCTGGTACGAGTGTTTTCTTATACGTCGGATTTTGTAGGCAACTTGCTTCGGGAATAGAGTGAATCGCGAAAATACAGAACTTAGCCGATTTTCGAAAAGTTTGCATTATCCGTTGAAAATATTGGCTTGGCGTGAAGGTTGTGTTCAGCCACACAGCCAAGGTCGTATTTGGTAGAGGATTAGACCATGACACTTTCGTGCTATCGAAAAGGTCGAGTCGGTTTATAAACTTGGCATTGAAGTGAAGCGCGATCGGACAATAGCCAAGTAGCGTTTGTCGAGCTTGATATGCCAAGTATGCACGTGTTTATAGAAAACGTTTTTCTGTTTTATGTTTGATTTCTACGGTGAAAGTTTTGTATAAACTTTCCTTTGTATGGAAGTTTTTTTTTTTTACTCGAGGGAGACAGATCCTAAGAAGCTCGATGCAGAGCCCCTGCGGAGTCGTTTGCGGGGCGGTCTCATTCTCGGGAGGAATGAGAGCGGATGCTCGTGGACCGGTGGGTTAAAGAGTGAGATCTTTCAGATCATGTCGCGAGGAGACAAAGTTTAGATTGGCCGCCCAGTGCTGGATCGTATAGCTTGGTTTTGGCTATAAGGAAAGTACTTTTCGCAAAACCTGGTACGTTTACTCTCGAAAGTTACATCGTTATGACATGATCCTGACTATACGAAGGATTTCTCGCGTAAGCAACGGACGATGAATTTAATAAATCGACGTGACGCATTGGGTTAACAATGTTTCCGCAGATTTTTCGAGAAACCTTTCCGCTTAGTTTTTTTATTCTTCGGTGATAGTTTTTTCGGAGTCACTCGTGGAGTTTTACCAAAAGTTATTTCACCGAGATCTAGTCGCAAAATGTTTTAGCGGGTTTCTCGGGCGGAATGAATCACATGATCAGCAATAGGATCAGTCAGCGAGAAGGGAGGACGTGTTCTCTATTGCTGCTTTGTGTTATCGATTTTTCTTTTGCCACAAATGTTCTTGATATTATTTCGTGACTCACTTGATTTGACGGAAAATGATAGCACTGTTTTGACGCCTAAAGATTTCTCGTATAATTTTTTGATTCTTATACGACACTTGTTTTATCAAGTTCGAGAAGATCTTAATGACTTCGGCAAATTATCGAGTTTCACCCTGAAGTTTCGCAGAGATTTTCTAACCGCATGGTTGCGACGAGAGATGCTGTATAGTCCTCGAGATTATTTCCCAGACAGTTTTGATCAGTCTTTAGCGCTTAGACGGTTTTTAGATTGTCGTTTGCTTTTGGGATGATTTCGACGAGGCGTCACATTGTCCGAATATTTTTTCTGCTTGTTTTGGCGAGAGTTTGCTTTATAGAAAGCGTTTTCTCGATGCGAGGGAAAATATTCGATGAAAACAAAAAGATGACTTTTCTTTGAAGGATTCGGATGATCGATAGTCCAGGTTGGTTAAAGACTGTGGTAGATTGGCGATGACTTGGAGTATGTCTGGCATACGAAAATTTCTGGGAGCGAGT